TGTGTCTATCTCTTTTACATCTTTGAAACACTCTTCTGTCCCCTTCCCTCTCGATTTTTTTCACTTTGATGTTCATTCCCTTCTGTGAAGCCCAAATTCAGCTAAAGGGCTACTGATAACTATCAAAATGCCTGCCATTTGGCATAAATAAATTTCATCTAATTTTTTGGATTTGATAGGGATAATTAGTAACTGAGCTATCCCTGCGCTATCAATAATAAATTACTAATCAATCTCATTTGTGCATCACTGATAAAATATATCACATCCAGTTTTGTTCAGGAACCAATTCAGCAACGGATATTAGCTATTGTTAGTATAATGAACTACTTGTCAAAGTTTGTGACAAGTAACTATTGATACAGAAACAAGACAGGGGAGTGAGTGAAGGATTTAACCTCTACCTAAGGCCACGTACTCTCGTAGTGAGGAGAATATCATTTGATTGATACCGCGTGTTCTTTCCTCAATGTATTTAATGTGTTGAGTATATGAGCACACACGCACACACACACACACCTATACACAAACGCACTATCTACTCACTCACACACTCCAAGTGAATAGCTAATCGGCGTCAAAGCATCCAGCCTGCCCGGGCCGTTCCGTTTCAAGGGGAGAGAGGGGGGGCAGGGTGGGGTGAGGTGGGGAGAGATGGGATGATGAAAGCATCGTGGAGGTGGGGGAGGGGAGGGGAGCAGGGTGGAAGGGAGGTGAGATGGAGGGGGGTAGGTGGGAAGCAGACTGGAGGAGGAGAGTGAGGAAAGATCAAAGCCCTTCTGCCGACATACACAGAGGCACAGGTATATACAAACACCTGAAACCATCCCCAGCCTACCTCCACTGTTAGAGTATATTTTGGCCCAAATAATTTCAGAGACCTTTTTTTGCGTTATAATCAAACCATGCTCATGGATTGAAATCTTTATTACGTAAGGAGTAAAGCTCCTAATTCAAATCTCACTCAGTTTCCTTAAATGGATTTATAGACTCAATTATAGACATGGAAGCATCGTGCATTAAGTTTATTTTATTGATTTTATTAACTTGATTTAAGTTACCTGCAAGTATGCCTCTAGAAAAAGCATTTTCATTAAAGGAAATTGTTTTATAATCTCAAAATATTTCTGATATTGCACTTTTGATCATTGACAAGAGGCTTCTGGGATAACTTAGTCGTAAATCTGATACAAAGCGACGCTTTATCTTTGATGAAACTGACAATAAGATAACGTTGCTTCGGAAGAAATTTATTGAATTGAGCTAACTCGGTTAGTTAGCTGTGCGCAAAACCATAGCAGAACATTTGTGGCTGTTTTTTAAAAAGTGATTAACATATAGAATTACACTTTTAAAATATTTAAAAGCAGACTGAAACTCAATAATCTACCCTAAAATTTGGTTCAAGCTATGACAATTAACTGCCTGTTTACATTTTGTTGCAATAATAACGAAAAAGCGAATGTCGCTGTGAATACTACTAAAATATTTTTAGTAGTGATATTTAATGACGACATTCGTTTTCGAATAATTTTGGAAAAATGTACCCAAAATTTTAGCCTTTATCTTCACCATAAAATTTTTGAAATGATATTTTAAATTTGAAAGTTATTGATATTTTTTTGATAGTAGTTTAATTTATTTAGCAAACGAAACAGCAGGGTATCTGACAGAAATCGGTAGTTCATTGAGTACATTATGAGATATTGGTGTTCCAGCACCCTTTTAAGGAGGATCCGTAGAAAAATTGTGGAAACAGGATTCTATAAATTATTGCAAATTATGCGCCAAATTCGACTATTACATGTTTTGTTTGGGTAGACTTGGAGTGAGTGTTTAATCATATATCTTTATTACAAAGAATAATTAACGGAAACGCAGCGTCATCTTTTGGCATAAATATGTTTTTTTAAATAACAATAAGCCTAGTTATTCAAATACAGTATTGAACACACGGTTTTGAGTGGAAATTACACATTGATTGCAAATTTAAACACAAATCATTTCGTTATTCATCCGGGATTGTACTTTAACATTAAGTTCAGGAGTTCATGAGCATTGAAAATACGTTGCATTCATTTCTTTGAACTGCCTTGAATCGGGTCAAACCTCGCTTTCTCATTTTCATTCATTTACCCAAGAGAATATTGTAAGCTAAATGTTCTAGTGTGGGTTTGATAGTATTCAATTTATTAAATTTTTCCAGAAAGCAATACGTAACTTCCATTCCATACTGCTTCAAAAGGGATTGATGAATTCAACAAAGGGTTGGTATTCGAACGACAAGATATAATAATGGGGGAATACATTGCAAGTGGTTTATGAAATCATTGCATTCTGCAGACTTTGAGAACTTGACTACAACCAATGGGGTTGCAGTATCCGGAATATTGTCGAAACGAACCTATTTTATAAGTTAACTCAGGTTTATGTTCAAGACCATGTCACCGATATTTTATTGATTACTAAAAATGATTCCTCTATTGACCAAACAGCTTCGACTTGTTTCCAGAGAGAACAGATAGGTGAAATGAACATTTTTTATAGATGCAAGAATTTGTAGGTATCTGTTTTTAAATTTAATTTTTCGTTTTAATCAAACCATAAAGAAAAAAAATGAGCTGATTTTTTTCCAGGAAATTGGTGTGTATTTTATTGTTTTAGATTCCGCTTTATTTTAATTGCTAAATGAATGTAAATCCCTCATTTGAAACTTCCTGCGAAATTTAAGAGCTGAACATCATGGAAAATGAAGGACGCAATTACAAGTTGACGCGAATAGAATTCATTCGCAATTTGATGTGATTTTGCATACATACTAATTTATATCAAATAATAATGATTTTATTGGCTGCTTTTAAAAAAGTCTATTAACCGGCAGTTGACTTCTCACTTCAAACTACCATCACCCCACTGTATCTCATATTCGACCACTTACACAGTA